CCTAGGGATAAAATGATGAAAAAATTGAAGTGCCAAAGCAAATCAGAACAATGCACCGTTCTGGTTTTAAATTTTTCAATTTTTTTTAAACACTACATAGCAGCTTGAATAGAACCAGTATTTAGTTAATGTTAGCTGAATTAATTAAGAATGCTTTGCTAACCTCTGTTTTGCTTTTTAATAAATGGTGTGGGAGGATTGGACTACCTTTGATTTATATCAAGTAGAATCCACAGAAGTGACTTGTCAGGCATACTTTATCAATTCTGCTCAGAAGACACCTACTTATGAGTTGGCTAAATATCAGAGTACACTTCATTAGTGCAGAACTACTTGAATTGCCTCACTGTACTTAGATAGGAATGCATCTGTACTCCTAGCAGTGAGTACAAATACATGGAAATAAATTAACTGCATACATTTCTTTAGCATGAAAAAACCAATTACTAACTCTTACCTGTGGATATTAAAACATCCACAGGAACAAGTGAATTCTTATTTAGGAATTACCTTCAAAATCAGTAAAACCTGAATTATAATAGCATTCATATAAATACCATAAACAGAATAAGTCTTCATAATTTCTAACTTCTGTCTGCCCTCACAAAATCAAACAGTTGTCAACTTAAAAACTACTAATTCGAACCAATACTGTTCACTTTCTCTTCATTTTATGTAAAATAATATCTAGTCTTCCCAGAACTACACGCTATCAATATTCTAAGCAACAGGGTTCATTCTCTTTCATATTAAATGTATTTCTTTATTGATTATATCATTCTGAAATTGCTACCACTTAATCCCTGAGTGATCATTTAAATCTCTATTTTGATGCTTATGAAATGGAAAGCACTGAGAATACTATTTACAAAGTGCACAGAACTTCAAAAAAGACCTCATTATTCTCAACAATTCCTATTCACATCTCAAATGAACAAAAGCCTCTTTATGAAACTGATATTTCTACAATTTTAACAAAAGTTTTGCAACAATTTAAGAAAAGCTGTACAAAAAATTTTAACTTAGCAAACTCAAACTATCAACAGTTGCTGCACAATGTGTTCACCAAAAAAAAATTTTTTAATCAAGACTTTAGATTTTAAGGAATTATTTCAGAAAGAAAGCCTCAGAAAATGAAAGCCACAATTGCAAACTTGGTTTCTTCAATACCCAGAAGAATGACCAAACATTGAACTACAATAATTTAACACCTCTTTTATTTTCAAATCTGTAGCTTATATTATCTAATTAAATTTAAGTCATTTCAAACTGTAAACAATTTTCAAGCATTTCTCCATGCTTTCTGAGTTTACATGGCTGCAATTTCAGAAAGTTTGAGAGCTGAGGCAGTTTCTGATAACCCTAGATTTCCATAAAAAAATGAGTATTACACCAGCAAACAGTTACGCAGCTTACAAAAACACTGGAGTCAGAAAATTTATATGAAATGACATCTTGGTACATTACTGCACATGATTTTACAAAAATCTGTATCTTCAGACAATAAACATTTGCGCCACCTGCCATCAGCACTGCCCTTGAGAAGTTCACAATCTAAAGAACAGTAACAGGACTTCCCTGGTTTTATCGTGGACAAGAACCCATCTGCCAATGCAGGGGACATGGGTTCGGTCCCTGGTCCAAGATGTCACATGACACAGAGCAACTAAGCCCGAGAAGCCCCAAGCACTGAGGGCCCGTGCTCTGCGGCAAGAGAAGTCACGGCGATGAGAAGCCCAGGCGTCGCAACAAAGCAGTGCCCGCTTGCCACAACTAGACAAAGTTGTCCCAAAGCAAGGACAAAGAAACAAACACAGAACAGTGATAAGACATGTAATCAGATTAAAACTAAAGGATAATTACGTCATACACACAGTATAACATGTTAGATGATACACAATAACATAGCAGAGAGGAAAATTTCCCTGACCAACTCATTGGAGATATACATCACCTCAAACGATGAACCAGAAATGCCATCACCCAGTAGCTGGTCAGTTAGAAATATGGAATTCCAGGTCCCAAGCAAATCTACTGAATCAGAATCTGAATTTTAACAAGCTCTCCAGGTAATCCCAGTGCACATTTAAATTCTGAAAAGCACTGATCCAGAACATAACTAAAAACCAGTAAATAAGTCAAAGTGACATCTTGTAAGTTCTTCAGGCCCCATCCTGAGCCTCTTTACAAATGAACAGATAATTTAACAAGTTCAGCTACCGAGTTTCACAGGCCAGGATCAAACAGGGAGACACCACTGACAGCAAAGAATACAGGAAAAACTAATGAAACGCAGACTCAGAAAGGGATGGCTACAGGGGGCCATTCAAACAGCAACAGTCTGCCCTTTCTGCCTAGATAGGCCTTAAAGGTCTCAATGCCTCACAGGCGTATAACAGTAAATGATGTTCTTAAACCTGCCTCCTCTAACTAGACCACAAATTCCTTAAGGACAGAGACCTAGTTTATTCTTATACACTCACATTTGTAAACGGAATGACCCTAGATCATTAAGATGAGTTCGGCTACACAATGAGATGTTTAACACATTTCAGAAAATTTTCTATCTAAAAAGATCACAGTAAATACGTCACAGCCTTTTTTTTTTTTTTAAAGAATAAAGCTGCTCCAGTGAATACAACAGGCACTCTAAGGAGAGAGGCTTTACTGAACTTATGGCTCCAAATGCAAATATGTTTTCTGACTCTATTCAAATTCACTTCGAGGGGATCAGTCAGTGGAATGAGTAGAGAAAAAGGATAAAGATTAGAAGAGAATGGAGGGAGAATAAAAATCAGAGAACATTCGGGGTTCTTCCACCCATGAAAATAAAAAGAGCAAAAATGGGAAGCTTCACCAAAGAAACAGCAAGGCTGCTTGCTGCTGCTGCTGCGTCGCTTCAGTCGTGTCCGACTCTGTGCGACCCCATAGACGGCAGCCCACCAGGCTCCGCCGTCCCTGGGATTCTCCAGGCAAGGACACTGGAGTGGGCTGCCATTTCCTTCTCCAGCGCATGAAGGTGAGAAGTGAAAGTGAAGCCGCTCCGTCGTGCTCAACAGCAAGGCTAGAAGATAACAAATGCTACCACCAGCAACCATTCACTCCACGGTCCTTGCCTCTCTGAACCAGACACATGCTCACAATCCTCCTAACCTAAGAACTGCTCAAAGACACCTTATCCCTAGAAATACTTTCCCTCCTGGCCTTCAGTCAGTTGATGACAGTTTACAACAAATTCACTCTTCTAAAACAGCAAACTTTATGACATTCTAGTCATTACTCTCCAAACAAATCATCAATTTTCTTGTCTATGTGCTTGCTCATGCTATTACTTCATTCAGAGACCTTTCTGCTCTGTTAATCCGACCCTGCACCTTAGCTGCCAGTCACATGTGGCTATTTAACATTTGAAACATGGCTAGACCGGACTGAGATGTACAGCAAGTGTAAAATACACATCGAATTTTGAAGACCTGGTACAAAAAAGACGTGAAAGTATTGTTTGTTTGTTTTTAACAATGATTACACGTTGAAATGTTTTGGATATATTCAATTAAAGAAGATACATGATTAAAATTATTTTCACCTGTTTATTTTTAGTTTTTAACATGGCTACTAGAAAATTTTAAATTACGTATGTGGTTCACATTGCATTTCTGTTGGACAGCACTGGTCTAAATCCTACTCATTCTTCAATGGCTAATTAAAACACCCCCATACAGCTTTCCCCAATGACTCCAAGCGACATGGTTTCTGTCTCCCAGAACTTTCACAACACTTTTATTAATACGTCCAAAGAACTAGGGCAATTTTATCTTCTTACCGAGTGTACCTGTTACAGCTCCCCAACTCCAAGATAAGCCAATTGAGAAAAGAATACATCTTGGTAAGTTTTCATCTTATTGCACATCAATAATACATATATTGATGCTAAGGTGATGCCTGATGTCTGCTAAGTGAGAGCTGAATTTTTCAATTACTATTACTATATTATCTATCCCTTTCAACGATTTCCATTTCTTTCAGAGGGATTAAACTCCATGTCTACAAATGTCCTGGATTATTATTATTAGACAAATGGAGTGCTAGTGAGCTGTACATATATGATAAACAGGCAAATTCAAAACTATCTAATACCTGAGGTAAATGCACTTAGATCAATTGTAAAAATTCGACAAGCATCTGAAGGTTCCACTTTTTAAATTATTTTATCCCTAAAAGTGTACTGTGAAGGTCAACTATTTCAAAAATAGGAGATTTTCTCAGAGATTAACAACACTGGGTGACTAAAACCTACCAAAAATTGTCAGAAGTCCTCCCCACAACCCTGACTGTAAATCAGGTAAGCGCGCAAAGGCTTGGGGACACCAACAGCGGTGCCCTACACCGCATCCAAAGCTCTGATAGCGTGCTGTGAGCAAAGTGGAAGGAAGGAAAAAGATGTGTGAAAGAGACGAAAGGTAGAAACTGTAGGAATGAGAAATAAAAACTAGGACTAAAAACGTCTCAGTTATGTGGGAGGGAGTCATCCCTAGGTGTATCGCTCAACCTCTGAACACTCAGGCAAAGGCAACGGCAGTCATTTCAAATGGTCTTTTCTTCAAATAGTATTCCAATGCCTGAGATCAGCATCCACGAAACTTCCTTCCTAACCAGCCTACTCTGACTCCCCGGGCCAGGGACTCCGGCCAAACCCAGCCCCGAAGCCATCCTTCTCCAGCACATTTTGGAAGCCGGCGGATGAAGCTAGAAGGCCGAACTGAGGCCCGGCACCTGGACGAGACCCCTCTCCCTCCGCGTCTGGCTTCAGCCCCTAGGGCAGGACCGAGCTGGCGGAGGGGAACCCGGCAGGCAGAGGGGGCGGGGCGGGGCAGGGCTGCGAGCTTCGAGCACCGGTCTTCCCGTTCCACGCCGGCGCCTGCCGGGGCCGCGGAGACGGGCAGGGTGGTGACAACGCGGAAAAGAAGGGCAGTGCGAAGCAGCCCGGGGCTTCCACTCACCAGCCTTCGTCGCCTAAAGTCGGCAGTGGCAGGACTTCTTCTCCTTCCGCCATTGCTGTTGACGTCCACGTCACTTTGCCGAAAAGTGGACCCGGCGCCGAGACCGACTCATACCCAACGTCGTAAAAGGTCCTCGGAAGTCTGGGACCAAGCTTCTGGAGAGGGAAAGGAAGAGGGAGGAGGCGAGGGATGGGAGGAACGCGACGTCACGACGTCCCGAGGGCGAAAGGCAGCTTGGCGGAGGAGACTTGGAGAGCCGCTGCCCTTCCAAAGACTACACGTCCCAGGATGCCGCGGGGCCTGGGCCGGGCGCGGTGGGCGGGGTTTGGCGAGAGCGCGGCTCCCAGTAAGAGGCGCTTGTGAGCGTCCCTTTTTGGCGTCCAGTTAGCGTCTTCTTTGCGTCTTAGCGTCCTGCTTAAAGTCATATTTGACAGTTTTAAGTAGTGGAGGGAGGAATGGAGAGGAAATGTCACAGGGAAGGTGGAGCGGTCAAAAGTGTAAATGGAGGCCACATACTTTATGTCTGAATGCTTTAAAAGTTATTGTTGTTTTTTAAAGCTAAACAGTAAAGGAGATATGTTCTAGGCTCCCATCTTTGTAAACATATTTCATATATAAACATGGACGTGAAAGTGAAAAGTGGCTCAGTCCTATTCGACTCTTTGCCACCCCATGGACTGCAGCCCACCAGGATCCTCTGTCCATGGAATACTCCAGGCAAGAATACTAGAGTGGGTTGCCATTCCCTTCTCCAGAGGATCTTCTCTACACGGGCATCGAATCCTGGTCTCCTGCATTGCAGGCGGATTCTTTACCGCCTGAGCCACCAAGGCTAGAATGATAAATTTGGACTTGACATTGCATGTTTATAAACATATTTCATACGTAAACACAGAAAGTCAAGTCCAAATTTAGAATCTAGAACTCTGGAGTTCCAAGCAGAGAGAGCTGCCACGTTTTATATCTTCCCACCCTACTTCCCCTTCACTCCCCGTTGGTGGCCACCTCTGCCTGCACATCCAAGCTCGGTTCCCACCATCACCGCCAAAGCAGGGGCTTTTTGTTCCACTTTGACCATACATGGGCCTCGGGGTGGGCAGAGGCTCCGGAGGATGGACCTAGGGAAATGCATCTGCCAACCCTGGACACAGGGCTGATGCAGTAGAACCACATGTAACAATACGGATACATCTGGAAAATATGATGGTAAATGAACAAGAGTAGGTAAAGTATGGTGTCATTTATATTTGATTTTAAAAATAGGCAGCACAATATATTTTTTATTCATAAATACATGTCTGCTTTTTTAAAGAATGTAGCAGAATGATACACAGAACAATTGGAATGGCAGTACTCAAAGATAAACACAGACAGCCTGTAGTTAAAGCAGTGAAAACTGATGTTATTCAGAAGCTACTGGCAGTAGGGGAAAGGGCTGACCTCCATTCTGATTTTTGCAGAAGTGATTAGGGGTTTTAAAGGGAGAATGAGGGAGCAGGGAGAGCTGGACTCATTAGAGTCAGACAAGTGAAAAATCACAAAGCATCGGTCAGTGTCATTGTGACTAAACCCGCAGTGTCTGCTAGCTGGCAGTTTTCAAGGTTAGGATTCTTCCCTCCCACAGAGACTGGGAGACAGAGACCCTGTTCTTCTGGATGATTACATTTCAAAGGAATGGCTCTCAGGTCTTAAGGAGGACACTTCTAAGTTGTAGAGATACAGATTCACAACTGTGAGTCTTTTCTCTCTCCAAGAGAGATCAGCAGCCTAACATCAGGTGTTGGCTTGATCAAACAGTAAATTCTCCTGGCAGCTATTGCACTTCCTCAATCAGGCATTTTAATGGGGTTCAGTGGGGGCCCAGGTCATCCTAGGGATACAGCCTTAAGTTGCTAAAAAATGATGCTAGCATTTAATCAGGTCTCTAGTGCAATGGTTTGGACAGAGCTGTTAAGTTCTGTGGTTCTCACAGTTCTGTTTGTGGGAGGAGAGAAAATGGCTTCAATTATACTTTTAATATGTTTCTAAAGAGCTGAGAAGAGGCTATGTAGGTATTCTGTATTCTTTATAGAGTCTGTACTTGGCATCTAAAATGTTTCATAGTTTTTTAAAACTATTTGATTAAATAAGCTCTTTCACTTCTAAGCAAAAACATGTTCATTCTCTTCCCCAAAGGAAAGATAACACAGAGCCACATTATTGCATCCACTTCTAAGCCCAGGATGTCTGCATGATGATCAGTCCTATGGGGAAAGTTCTCCTAAAAGTGGAATGAGAGTCTGGACGACAGCTATCAAAAAGAATAAAAGGCATGGATTCGGGTCGAATTACCATCCCAGTAAGCAGCATCTCTACTGGGTCTCTTCAGTTTTTGCCAGTGGGTTTTCAGAAGCTTTTCTAAGATGTTTTTTAAAACTGTTAAGCCAGTGACATGACAAACAGTTGTTCATCAGTTAAGGTGACCCTAACCCTCAACTGTAATTCATCTTGAGAGTAATTAAGCCAATGACTGCTTTATACTCCATGTGGTAAAAATATTGTTCCACTAAAAATGTATCGCCTGACATTTTCGAGCATTTTTTTCATTCTGTAGAAGATGAAACTCCCAACTCCCATCCTCTTTAATAGGGCCAGGGTCAGCTTCATGGGCGTGTCGTCTGTGCAACAGCAGAGGACTCCATGCCATCTGGAAATTCTTTTTTTAAATTTTATTTATGTGTGGATCGATTGATTTTTTGGCTGTGCTGGGTCTTCGCTGCTGTGTGGGCTTTTCTCTAGTGGTGACTGGGGGCTGCTCTCTCGTTGCCATGTACACGCTTCTCATCGCAGAGGCTTATTGCAGAGCATGGGCTCTAGGACAAGCAGGATTCAGTAGTTGCAACTCCCGGAGCACAGGTGGCTCACGGGCTTAGTTGCTCTGAGGCATGTGCAGTCTTCCCGGATCAGGAATCAAACTCATGTCTCCTGCATTGGCATGTGGATTCTTTACCACTGAACCGTCAGGGAAGCCCCGGAAATTCTTAATAATTTTGGAACAGGAGGCCCCTCATTTTCATTTTGCACTAGGCACCCCCACAAATTATGTAGCCATTCCCAATAGGATCAATATGACATTGATATATACCCCATGGGGACAAGATTTCAATAGAAATTATTTAGTGATGTATCTTCTGAAGTATTTATATCATCTGTTCCTTACTCATCAAACCTTTCAGTGTCATACCGAGTACTCATTCTGAATTCATGATATCCACCAAGATGACATCCTCTTCCTCCCGTGGTAATTCTAGGAATCTGGTTGTTAGCTAAAGTCTTTGAAACTTGGTATGCCTTTGGTTCCTCTTGCTTGAACATGTTGCACTGGTCACACTACACTCTTTGCAGTGTTTGCTTGTGTTTGGCTTGTGGATATCCAGGTTGCTGACTCCTCCAAGTGAGGCTTCAAAGGTCCGTGAACTGAGAACTTCCGGATGTTCAAGCTGGATTTAGAAAAGGCAGAGGAAACAGAGATCAAATTGCCAACATCCGCTGGATCATAGGAAAAACAGTTCCAGAAAAACATCTGCTTTATTGATGGTTTATATGATGATTTATTGACGCCAAAGCCTCTGACTGTGTGGGTCACAGCACACTGTGGGAAGGTCTTCAGGAGACGGGAACACCAGACCACCTGACCTGCCTTCTGAGAAACCTGTATGCAGGTCAGGAAGCAACAGTTAGAACTGGACATGGAACAACAGACTGGTTCCAAATAGGGAAAGGAGTACATCAAGGCTGTGTATTGTCACCCTGCTTATTTAACTTATATGCAGAGTACATCATGCAAAATGCCGGGCTGGATGAAGCACAAGCTGGAATCAAGACTGCTGGGAGAAATATCAGTAACCTCAGATATGCAGATGACACCACCCTTATGGCAGAAAGTGAAGAGGAACTAAAGAACCTCTTGATGAAGGTGAAAGAGGAGAGTAAAAAAGCTGGCTTAAAACTCAACATTCAAAAAAACGAAGATCATGGCATCCCCTCCCTTCATGGCAAATAGATGGGAAAACAATGGAAACAATGACAGAGTTTATTTTCTTGGGCTCCAAAATCACTGCAGATGGTGACCACAGCCATGAAATTAAAACACGCTTTCTCCGTGGAGGAAAAGCTATGACCAACCTAGAGAGCATACTAAAAAGCAGAGACAATACTTTGCTAACAAATTCCATCTAGTCAAAGCTATGGTTTTTCCAGTAGTCATGTATGGATGTGAGAGTTGGACCATAAAGAAAGCTAAGTACCAAAGAATTGATGCTTTTGAACTGTGGTGTTGGAGAATACTCTTGAGAGTCCCTAGGACTGCAAGGAGATCAAACCAGTCAAAAAAAAAAACAAAACAGTCCTGAATATTTATTGGAAGGACTGATGCTGAAGCTGAAGCTCCAATACTTTGGCTACCTGATGCAAAGAGCTGACTCATTGGAAAAGACCCTGATGTTGGGAAAGATTGAAGGCAGGAGGAGAAGCATCACCGACTTGATGGAGATGAGTTTGAGCAAGCCCTGGGAGTTGGTGATGGACACGGAAGCCTGGTGTGCTGCAGTCCATGGGATTGCAGAGTCAGACAGGACTGAGCGACTGAACTGAACTGAGCTGAGTTATTGCAGATCTCGGTGGTGGTTGAGTCTTCTGCCCATAAGCCCTTTTTCCTTTTTCTCTTGCTGTGGATCAGGGTCATCCATGCTTCCCCTTAACCTTGTCTTGTCTTCTGAAAGGACAAACACCACATTCAGTTGTTGATCTCCAGTCTGCTAAGTTAGTTTTCTAACTCATGAGTTAGAGAAAATGAGAAAATTCATTTTCATGAGTTTTCTGATCTTTCCTCTTGATCTGGATCCAGTTTATCTACATTTTCCCCAACATGCCTCACTTCCTGAGATGACAACAATATTACTATGCCCAGAGAACATTCTCTAGCTGGCTACAAGTTTTTATGCTTGTAACTTTCCTAGTATTTTTGTGCTTTTAAAAAAATCTCAAAGTCCTACCTTTCACCTGGATGGTTGTG